GATTGGCTCTCAGTAGATTAGGTACTTTCTGGATATGAATTTGCTTTCCCTGTTCCTGTTTCTGCCAGCAGCAGCATCAATGGCATCCCCGAACACCCTGTCTGTTATCATGGCATTTCCCAGAGCACCAGTTTTGATCAGTGAATCCTATAGCTCCCTTCACAGTAATGGGCCCATGGTCACAAAATCAACTGGTCTTACCATGTGTGCTATTACTGGGAAACACCCAGGCACATTCTGAAAGGTGTGATGGACTAAGAAAGCCTCAGCTCTAGGGTCAGTTGGCAGTCAAGGCCCTGAAATGGTGGTGCATCACTTTGCCTCACAGCCAGATGGGTTTTGGAACCCATGGACAGAAGCAGCTTGCCTCACTATAAAACTCAATAACTAATGGAATGTTTGCTTCTTTCTAACTGTCCTGAACTCTGCTTGTTTTGAGGGTCTTGTTCTCTGAAGATCAGCAGATCACCACGGAACATACCAGCGGCCCCACCAGGAAGAGAAACCAAATGAGTGAGGCTCTCTTCCAGATCCTATGGAGAAGAAAAAAATGTAACTGACCTGCCTGGAGAATCCCAGTCTCTGGAAGGGGCTTCAGGAAAATACAGTTTGAGTAATAATGGAAACGCTTTGATTCTGTCAAGTTTCTACTAGAAGAGAGGAAATAACCAGGCCTTCAGCTGTTTATTTACTGACTAAATGGAAAGAGAAGTTGAGGCTTTAAGGTTAGTAGAAGCAGACCCAACTTTTCCAGCCAGGCCCTGAAGGCAGTGGAAGATGAAATTTAAATGAAAATCCTTTAACTTATCCTTTCTGCATAAGTTATAAAATGGGACTAAAATAGAATGGGGGCTTCAGAACTGAACAGCATGAATGCCAGGCCAGTGTCACACTCACCAAATCCTTCCTGGGAGTGATACTGAGTTCTCACTAACTCTACTAGTGCTTCTGAGTAGCTGTGTCCAAATTCCTGAGAAAAAAAGACTTGCAGGAAGAATAGTTTTGACTCATGGTTTTAGAGACTGCAGCCTACAGTCCACGGTGAGGCAGAACATCATCCTGGTAGAGGATATGGTAGAAGGGCAGTTTACCTCATGAGAGGACAGGAAACAAAGAGAGGGGTACAGGAATGGGCCTAGAATGAAACACATCACCGAGGGATGTGCCCCAGATATCCCACTTTCTCTAGTGAGGTCCTACCTACTAAAGTTTCTATAACCTCCCCAATGGCACTGCCAGCTGGGAACAAAGCAGTCAACAGGTGAGCTTGTGGGGGGATATTCCATGAGCAAACCATAGCAGTAACCATATGCTCAACAAAGATGCTAAGCGAAGGGCCACCCTGTTCCTTGAAGTCACTTTCTATTTTTTGCCCCCATTCTAGCATTGACTTTCGGTGAGTAGACTTCGGGAAACTGATTCGCAGGGTTTGACTCCTAGCTCAGTCAGTTTCCAGCTCTTGTGTATTAGGTAAGTCAATTAACCTTCCTGTGCCTAAGTGTGTTTGTAAAAAGAAAGATGTCAAGTCTAGGGAGATGGCTCAGCGAATAAAGTACTTGCTGTGCAGACATGTGAGCTTCAGTTTGGGTCCCCAGAATGCATGTAAACCCTGTAATCCCAGTGGTCCTATGGTGAGATGGGGTGTGGAGACAAGAGAATCCCTGGGAGCTCGTGAGTCAGCTAGCCTGGTAAACATAGTGGCAAACAGCAAAGAGATCCTGTCTTCAACAAGGTGGGAAGGTGAAGACTGATACCCAAAGCTGTCCTCTGACCTACACATGGCCATCATGGCACTGTGTGCTCATAATTACACACCCAAATGTGCGGGATAGCACCCATGCATGAGTGCACAAATGCGAGAGTGTGTGTGCGCACATGCGCACATACACACATTTTCTCTCTCTCTCTCTCTCTCTCTCTCTCTCTCTCACACACACACACACACTACATATACAATCATATACATACAAAGATTTTTATTTTTTATTTTTTCAACTTTTTAAAAATTTGAATTAGAGACAGGATTGTTTTACATGACAAACCCAGTTCCCTTCTCCCACCCGTCCTCCCCGACCCCCCTCTCCCAACTAAAACCCTACCTATCACATATCCTTTCTGCTCCCCTGGATGGTGAGGCCTTCCATAGAGTGTCATCAGAGTCTATTGTATCTGTTGGGATAGGGCCTAGGCCCACCCACACAAAGATTTTTAAAAATGAGGACAATAGTAATATCTATTCTGGAATGTTGTTTGGCAATTGACTTAAAATAAAATACACAAACTGTGTAACTCCATATAATAGTACCCAGCTCATAGTTAGGGACTCTTAACACTGTGGTCTGACAATGCTTGCTCTGTTCACTAGGAATATAAATTATGTCACACTCTCCTTCTTGCTCAAGAAAATCTGCAGAACACCTGCTGAACAACTGTTGTGTCTATACTTTGTGTTTCCCTCCCCACTCCCCATTCATACAGCAAAGCTCTATCCTGCCCCTCTATGTGACTATATTTGGAAATAAGGCCTTTAGGGGGGTGACTAAGGCAGGATGAGTTGATAAAGGTAGGGTCCTAGACCACTGGACTTGTAAGGGGAGGACAGAAGAACATAAAGAAAAGGCCACCTCTTGCTGTAAGAATACCAGGTGGCTATTTACACACACCTCAGGGACAAAGGTCTTACCAGACACCAGCCTTGGCATCTGGGTACTGAACTTTTAGTCTCCAGAACTAGGAGAAATAAATCTCTGCTGGGTAAGCCTCCAGCTTGTGGTATTTCATTATGACAGTTGGAGCAGATTCATGCAGTAACCCCATGAAAGTTTAAATGTCCAATGAGAGACAATGGGTCTGCGCTGATAAGCAGCCTCTGATGTTAGGCATGACGTCACTTCCCGACTCATTGTGTGAAAGTCTGGTATTTCCCATGGCAGGTAACTGCAGACAGTCATTTGTCATCTATATACTTGGCACTGCTGTCCTTTGGATTTACTTTGACTATAAGAAATTCCTGCAGAATTTGTTGAGGCCTCACTGAACATACTGGCTATATAGCAAGATTCTCTCTCTCTCTCTCTCTCTCTCTCTCTCTCTCTGTCTCTCCCCCCCTTTCTCTCACTAAAAGATGGAAATTAGTTAAGGTCTCAGGCTGAATACTTGACTCGTGAACACCCATAGCCTGTGAAGGGCTTCTTCCTTCTACTTCCTTCTACTTTAGGGCTTCCACCAGGTTTGTGAAATGCAAACCTGACTGGCTGGCCGACAAGAGTCTGAGCTAATGTGACCCTCATGCCATCTGAAGCCCTCTAAGTCCATCAACTGGATAATGATGCCTGAAGTCCCTTTTATTTTCTGAAAATGCCCAAAGCCCTCCCTCAGGTTCCCTCCTTTTATGTTCCTTCTGCATGGGTTGGGTTTGTTTGTAAGAGCTGCCTGCCAAAACCTGAATCCATCTGAAGCTTTCACAAAAGGAACCATCCAATCAAAGTTTCAGGACTCCCTGGAAGATTGGGGGGCCCATAGAGGTGAGGCCCAGCCTTTGATTTCTCATTCCCACTTTGTACATTCTCTTCTAGATTTTCTCAGGAACGCTCTTTTTTTCTCTCTAGGTCCTTGAACAATTCAGGTAAGTTCCTTCGTCCAAACCTGCAACCCTCCAAATGAGATACTCCAGCTTTCCATTTTAAGGGCAATTTTGCTTATAAATATGTTCTTAAAATACATTAGATACAATGTGTACTTTATGTGGGTAACATCCATAAATGACTATGATCAATATATTTACAAATAGGTATTCTTTTCTTTTGAGACAGTTTCTGTAGCTCGTGCTGGACTCAAATTCCCCCTGAAGCCTCTGAACAACCCTGAACTCTTGATCCTCCTGCCTCCACCCCCCACCCCCACTACTGGGTGAGTATCCCCAAGCCCAATTGATGAGGTGCTGGGAAATCAAACCCAGGAATGATGCATGCCCAGCAAGCACTCTTCTAACTGAGCTATGCCCTCAGTCCTGTTGTCATTTATTCTTTTTACACAAAGAATAGTAATGGCAACGGAGAGAGTGAGAACTTTTCAGGGCTTTTGTCTCTTCTATTTCACCCACTGAAACTAGAGAAAGGTTGTTTTGAACTTACTAATAAATTTGCTTCCCAAGTGTAGGACTTCCAGAATCTGGGGCTGTATAAATAAGTTAACTTAAAACAAACAAACAAACAAAACAAAAAACCTGGGTCAATGGCTTTTCAAATCTTTATGGGGACTCTTTGAACGCCATTATTACAGAAAAACCACTGTGTGTGTGTACAATAGAGGATGAGAGGGAGACAGGATCAGGGGCGAAGGAGTGGCAGGGAGAAGAGGATGGGGAGGAGGAGGGGGGAAGGGGAGGAAAGAGGGGAGGAAGAGAGGTGGGAGACAGACAAAGAGAGAGGTGGAGATATTTCATAAGAAATTTGGGGAAGACAAAATCAGATTTGCTTGCCATGCGCTTTGATTCTTAACCACTTGCAGGGAAAAAACGTCAAGACTTAATGCAGAGTACCTCATTGTGCAAATTGAGAGCAGTAGCTGTGGGACACCTGCGTAGAGAACAACTATTTACACCGGGGAAGTGCTGATCTAGCCCATAGTGATAAGTTCACACATCCCGCGGCCACCGGGAGTTCCAGGGCGCCCGGATCGGTCCCCTCCTCGGGGAGCGTGCAAAGGCCGGGTTGCCGAGCGGACTCCCCGCCCTCGCCGCCGTCCACGCCCCAGTCCCCGCCCGTCCCGTCGCGTCCTCGCGACCCTTCTTAAGCGTGGAGGGGCGAAGGCCTGGGTATGGTGATTCTGGCCACAGAGCTAGCCACGCAACCCAGCTCCCCGGAGCTCGCGCAGTCGAGAGCCCAGGCGGTAGTTCCCCGGCGGACGGGCCGGCGCGGCGGGCTCCCCGGCTCCCCGGTTCCCCGGTTTCCTAGGCACCCGGGCGGGCAATGCGCCCGGGCTAGAGCGTAGCCGCCGGCATGCTGCTCCCGGTGCTGCTCGCAGCGCTCTGTCTCGCCGACCGTCCGGTGCCCTCGCGCGCCTGCCAGCTGCCCTCGGAGTGGCGACCCCTGAGCGAGGGCTGCCGCGCAGAGCTGGCCGAAACCATCGTGTATGCCAAGGTGCTGGCGCTGCACCCTGAGGTGCCTGGCCTCTACAACTACCTGCCCTGGCAGTACCAAGCTGGAGAGGGAGGGCTCTTCTATTCGGCCGAGGTGGAGATGCTGTGTGACCAGGCGTGGGGCAGTATGCTGGAGGTGCCCGCCGGCTCCCGGCTCAATCTTACAGGTCTGGGCTACTTCTCCTGTCACTCCCACACGGTGGTCCAGGACTACTCCTATTTCTTCTTTGTCAGGTGAGCCTGGCCCCTCTGCGGGCTACCTGCAGCAGGTCAGGAGCGCCAGGGGCCGTTTTTGTTTTTTGTTTTTTTGCCAAAGTAGAACATGCCTTAGGCTCTTTGCATTCTCTCTTGCTCTATCCTCTGTGAAGATCCTGACCACCCCTGGCTGAGGAAAAGAAACAGACGATTTTGGAGTCATGTGCACAACCAGAAGGGTGTCAAAGGCAAAAAAGTTTAAGTGCTTTTGTTTATGAGACCGGGTTTTATTGTTTCCCGGGGCGATCCTCCTGCCTCAGCCTCAGTGCTGGGATTACAGGCTCATGTTACCACGTGCAGCCATCAAAGTGCTTTCCAATCACCCATTTGATGTATTGAGAAAGATGACTTTTGGAATCAGTAGTCGGGATTCTGGCATTGAACTTCTCAAGTGTAAGTTTTGGGTCACATACTTCTCTCAGTCCTACTCTCACACCTCACCCCTCCACCAGTTCCCATCTGGCTGAAAGTGAGAAGCAAATACTGATAGGCACACCTGAAACACCCGGGAAAGCCCCGTGCATTCACTCTTTTCCTACCGCTTGCTTCAATGCCAGAAAGCAGCCCAGCTGTCTTGTTCCACGCTTCATACCTGCTGCCAGGTAATTCAAATTAGCAGAGATTGGGGCGGGGGGGGGCGCAAAAACTCCGGGTTGGGTCACTGCTTTAAAGAGGTCAGAGGGGAATCAGGCAGGTGGTCCCTTGCAGACACTATCAACCTTGCGAAGTTCCACAGATGTTGGCCTATGACCAGCAGGAAATGTATCTGTCCCTAAATACAGTTCATTTTTATTGACTACTAAGTTCTATCAAAAGCACAGGTAGGAAACAGGAGGTGGCTCCGCAAGTTTGTGGGTTGCTTCTGAATCAATTAAGACGGAGCTAGAACATCCGGGAGAGACTTGGACCTAGGAGCTTAGCCAGGTTTTTAAAACAGTCGGTGATTCAATCCAAAAGCTTTATGATCAGCGATAGTCCGGGTCTTACCAGTTGTAAAACAGCACCAAGGCTCTTGGGAATGACTTCGAGCAGGGGCTGCAGATTGGTTTTGGAATCTCTGAGAAAGAAAACAGTTAAGTTCCGCAGAGGGGCATCCTGCAGCTCGGGGCCACATGTGCTTCCCATATTGAAGACAGGCTAAGTTTAGAACGCATGTTCTGCTTTGTGTTGGCTTGAGTGGCTTAGCCAGATTAGGTTGATTTTTTTTTTTTTAATTGTCTGGAAAGTATAGTGTCTAAATAAAGTCAGTCAGGACTGTGCCAGTGCCTTTCTTGATCCAGAGAATCTAACTCAGCCTTTTCATGTTTTTATTTAGGGAAAACACTGAGAGCCCAGCTAGGAAACAACTTGACAGTGTTTTATTTCCCACTGGATGAAAGCCTAAGACCTGAGCAGATAATGTTAGACTTTTGCTTTTTTCTTTTTTAATCACAAAATGGTTCAGTGACTGTGCAGTGGTCAGCCAATGTTTTCATCTTTTGCGATGACATAATTAAAGTTAAGACAGACCAACAGTCACACCATACTGTGACACGCTGTCTTTCCATAAGGCTGTCTTGCCTTGAAGTAGGCTAATAACAGCACACAAAGGTTCCTCCTCTGTTGTTCTGGACTTTTCCCTGTCTCTTGCTCACTCACTGTGACTGATTAATGGAAAGTAGGGGAGGGTTTATTTTGGTTCATTTCAGAGGGCTCATTCCATTGCCATGTGGCTCTGGACACTTGGGCAGATGGTTATGGTGGTGCATGGAGCAGAGTCTTCACCTCATGGCAAACAGGAAGCAGAGAAGGAATACAAGAAGGGGCCATGGCAGTATATAGACACAAAGACATACTCCTGGTGACTTAATTCCTTCTGAAACTTTGACAGCCTTCCATCCTAGTTGGGTACCAAGGTTGAGCCCATGAAACTGAGAGGAGGGGGAGCATTCCAAATTCAAACTGGAACACTTGGGTTAAAATTCTCACCTTTTCTTTTCTGACTTCTATTTCTAACAAGCACTTTACAACAGAGCATGTAAAAATGTTCACTAATATTTATATACTTGCATTCACTCTGTGCCAAGTACTTTATTATATTTATTGTGTTGGATGAGTGTGTATGTGTGTGTGGTGCATGCTCAGGAGTGTGTGCACAACACAGAGGAAGATGTTGGTGTCTTCCTCTGTCACCCTCTACTTTATTGCCTTGATACAGGGTCTCTCATTGACCTGGAAGCTCACTGTTTGGGCTATCCTGGACTATCAGGCTCTCAGGATCTGCCTGTCTCTGCCTTCCAGTGCTGGTGTTACCAGCAGGCACAGCCATGACTGGCTTTTTATGTGGTCCTCACACTTGACCAGGAATTGCACTTACCACCGAACGACATCTCCAGTCCTGTTTACATTTTCCCAATGTAGTCCCCTGATAATACCAAGAGAGTAGGTTCTACTGAAGTTCTTCTTGTAGCAGACTGGAAGATGACAGGGATTAAGGAAGAAATTTTGAGACTTGAATGTAGCAGTTGAGACTTGAATCTAGGCCACGTTACAATTGGCTGCCTTCTCACCAAGAAGTAAGGAACACTATGAGACAGAAGGTCCTAGGGGACTTGGGAAATAGACAGACAGGCATGCATGTACACATCTTCCTTCCCCCTTGTCTAGATTCCATTCTTAAGAAAACCTTAAAGTTAGACTCAAGTAGTGTACAGTGGAAAACAATTAGACGTGCTAACTGTCGGGGTCTCTTCCTGGGAACCATTGCAGACTTCATGATGAAGTTAGCAAGATCATCTCTGGCCTTTGTGAACTGGACTGAAGCTGGCCCACCTCCAATAACCTCACCTACATCTCTGCTTTGACCCCTCCCCCTTAGGATGGATGAAAATTACAATCTCTTGCCTCATGGAGTCAATTTCCAAGATGCCATCTTTCCAGACACACAAGAAAACAGAAGGATGTTTTCCAGCCTCTTCCAGTTTGCTAACTGTTCCCAAGGGCAGCAGCTGATGACCTCGAGTGACTGGGAGATCCAGGAAGACAACAGGGTAAGAGTGGCTAGACCCTGTGCCCAGACAAAACAAGAGTGTAGCCATACCTTCTAGGAACATCGTGATCAAAGGCATCAAGAATCCTCTTCTAAATTATGTATCCTTCCATCTTCCTCCCAGCTGAGAGAGAATGGTGCCCATAGGCTTTGGATGCCCAAGGTATAGTGTTTGATAAGGAGTTCTTATCAAACAATCACAAAGATGGGAGGAAGATACACATGTCCGTGTCAGGCTCCCCTTCTGCAAAAGGGAGAAAAAAGTCATACCCACATTTCACTCATTTGATTTAAATATGTAAATCTCTTGGCATAGTGCTCAAGAGTAAGTGTTCAATGCCTGTAAGCCATTGTGGCTATTCTTGTGATTGACAGCAGCTGTGACTGATACACCCACTGCTATAAGGCAGTGGTTGTAACTTGTGGGTCATGACTCCTTTGGGGGTTGCATATCATATATCCTGTATATTATTTATTTACATTACAATTCATAATGGTAGCAAAATTACAGTTATGGAGGAGCAACAAAATAATTTTATGGTTGGGGACCACCACATCATGAGGAACTGTATTTAAGAGCATTAGGAAGGTTGAGAACCACTATAAGGAATTGTCTTGGATAAAAAGGAAATTAAATAAGAAAATTCTCACAGCTAACATTCCATGCTTAAATTTTCTTTTAGATTTATTTTATGTGTGTGGATTTTTTTCTCCTGCATGTATGTACACCATCTGCATGCCTGGGGCCTGGGGAAGTTAGAAGAGGGTGTTGATCCCCAGGAACTGGAGTTAAGGATGATTGTGAGCTTCCATGTGGGTCCTGGGGATCAAACCCAGGTCCTCTGGAAGAGCAAGAAGGGCTCCTACCTGCTGAGTCTACTCTGCAGCCCCCGTTCTATGATTTTTTAAAGTGATACTCCCTTTAAAGCTTACAAGGTAGAGCAAGTGGCTGTAGTAAAGGTTGAGATTACTTTGAGTGTGGAAATATAAAGAAATCTTCCAATCTGAGCCTAATCCCAGTTAGGGGAAATTTTAGGGGTTGTTACTTTCCCCAAACTATGACAGTACCACAATGATACTGATGAGATGAGAAAGTAAGTCAGACCAGGCCTGTGGGCTGCTGGCCTATCACTCTCCTCCAAAATAGATTTGAAGTTAAGTGACCAATTTCCAGAGACAGGTCTGATTATGGATATCAAATCAAGCAGTGACCCTATTTTATCATTTAAAGAATCACCCAGTTGTGTCTGGTGGCTCCATTCTTTCTATTCCATGTGTGGAAGGTTTGAGAGGTGAGACTCATCTTTTCTGGAGGCTTAGTCTAGGGTAGCTGCCTTGTTCCTATAAACATCATCACCTTCAGCTCTGGGACTCCAAGCTCCAGAATCTTGCTCTTATTCTCTCAGAGAAGATGCTCCTATGATGGACAAGGCTGTTATTCATCTGTGTTTTTCATTGTCACTAGCTCCCTGCCTTAGATCTACCTTGCTGATAGTAGTCTAGGGTCTCCTTGCCTGTCTTCTCCGCTTTCTGAGATTGTTCTGTGTTTGTTACAGCACTGTACTTCCCCTCCTCCCTGTGTGTGTGTGCAGATACATGTGTGTGTGCAGATACATGTGTGTGCTGGTGCCTTTGCATATGTGTATCCAGATATGTGGAGGCCAGAAGACTTCTGGTTTTGTTCCTCAGGCCCAGTATTAATTAGTTTTCTATTACTGTGACAAAATACCATAACTGAGGCAACTTACAAAAGAAAGCATTTAATTAAGCTTATGGTTCCTGAGGGTTTGGGTCCGTGATGGTGATGGAAAGGCATGGTGGAAAGAACGGCTGATAGTTATCTTGATCCAAAAGCAGGGGACTGAGAGAACTGGTGCCAGTCTTTTGAAATGTCAAAGCCTGCCATAGTGATCCACTTCCTCCAACAGAGCCTGCCCTTAGTGATACACTTTTTCTAACAAAGCCACACCTCTTAATCCTTTTTAAACATTTGCACCAACTGGGAATCAAGCATTCAAACACAAGAGCCTATGGGGAATCATTCTCATTTAAGCCACTGCAGGGTACCATCTGCTCTGCTCTTTTTTATTTTCAGACAAGGGTCTTTTTTTGATCTGGAACTCACCCAGCAGGCCAGGCTGGCTGGCCCTCTAGCCCCAGGGGTTCCTGCCATCTCTACCTCTGCCTCTGCTGTGCTGGGATTAGAGGGGTGTGCCACCATCCTAGCTTTTTTATGTGGGTTCTGGGGGATCACATTCATGTCTTCCTGAGTTCATAAACACTTTACCAATTGAGCTCTTTAATCCTGTTTGAGCATGAGTATGTGTGTATGTATTTATGTATTTATATATGCTTGGATGTCTTACTTTGTCCCCTGCCTTATTCACTTGTGACAGCATCTCTCATTGAACTTGGAACTAGTTTGGCAGCTAGCAAGCCTGAATGACCTTCCTCTATCTGTCCCCCACTGCACTGGGAATTGTATGGATTTGCATGACCTTGTTTAGCTTCTTACACCTGTATAGGAGATTAGAACTCAGGTCCTCATGCTTATGCAACAAGCTCTTTTACCCATGGAGCCACCTCTAAATCCCCATTTCTTCTGTCTTGTCTTTACTGTTCATTACTCTACACTGCATTGGATGCATTACATCAAAGCCTCAGAATTCCAAACGAGTCACACCTAGTCTATCAGGAATGCAATCAGTTTAGTTTTGGCTTATTTTGTGTGAGCTTTGCATATGTGTATAATCTACAATAGCAATAGATTTATGTTAAGAGATCAAATATTACTCCACAAAAGCTTAAGGGGCTTAGCCCTAAACATCTTCAGCTGCATAACTTGTTAGTCTTTTGCTCACATTTGTTTGGAATTAGATTTTCCAACATTAAAAGGGAAAGACTAGAACAATAGGACCCTAGGGAATAGTTTCAGTGTGGAGGCAGGCCTATTTCTGTGCATCAGATGCTGATCTTGGGGAGACTATTTTCCCCTTTAGTCACCCTGGCCTCTTGTATAATGGAATGTGGGAGTACTGGACACATGGATGAAGTGTCAAAATCTGAGGTCGGGGTGATAATTATTCCAGAATGCTGTTCTGATGGGTAGTAAGTTTAAAGGTTTGATTTGGGGGCCCTCTCAACTTCCAGATTCCCTTTCCCTCATTCCATTTCCACTCCCTGCCCTCTTTGAAAAGGACCACATCAGAACTCAATGGAAGAACTTAATCTGTTCTATCTG